GTGCTCCTCGGGATTGCTCGAGTGCAAATCTCGCATGTAGGATTCGATTATGTTAGGAGGCACGCCCTGCAGCAGGAGCCGGCAGAAGGAGAGTCCGCCTGCAGAGGACAGAAAGGCAAAGGCAAAGTCAAAACCGTCTATGTGAGCAGTGACTGAAACGATACTCCTGGACAAGCTGCCGGGAAATGCGACTAATTATATTCCAGTTAGTGACAAAGGTTCATTCAGTCCCTACTTGGAAATCTTCTCCTGGGTTTTAGTACATTTAGAATTTAAAGCCCTTGACATCTAGATGGGAAAGCAAGTTCCGGCCAGACCCATAGAAGCCCTTTGTTCCCTACTGTTATTCCATCTTAGTGAAGTCCTGACTGGTTAGAAAGTATTTATGCTCTTTGAGAGGTTTGGGGGATTCCCTATGGATGATTTAAGTGCTCTGATGGAAAGGCAGAATAAATGCATACTACGTTATGAATCAGCGGAAGAAACTGTTTCCAGTTTGTCGATGTTCTTTCAAATTAAGCACAAAGGGTTCTAACTCACGCACATTGGAGAAGAAAAAGGGGACTATTCCTTTAACTTTGGTTACTTCTACATTGTCAAATGTGAAAAAAGATTGGAAATATTTTGTTACAAATAGTAAAACCTATCCGATACCTTCTGAAGGTCAGAGAAATACCTACTAATATTTCATACTTACCTCTCATATTTCTGAATTCTATTTAAAAAATAAAAGTACCATTCACAAGAGAACTCATGAAACCATAACAATTCATGGTCCTTTAGAGAAGTACTTCACTACTTGCTAATAAATTCACGTCCAGACAAAAACAGCATGCCATTTTGAACATTCTTAAAACTTCTTTAATGCAAATTTGGAAAAGTCATTCTCCTTTCAAAACAAGATTTCAAGTCACATATTGGTAGAAATGATGCCACTTATGTACATGTCCATTCCTTGATGCATAGTTCAGAATGCTTGGGTATCACTCATTTCCATCTCTATGAAATGCTTTAATCCATGCTCTACTGCATTCACATCAACAGGTGACTGTGGTGCTGAGTAAGTACTAGTTGTTAATTTCAAGAAACTAACATACAACTATAAACTACAAAGTTAGATATTTTAAATGGTCTATTTTCATTGGATTACATAATGAAAATCATGCCATACTCCGCAAGCTTTGTATGGCTTATGAGAGTCATAAGCTTCATATGCCAAATCCATATGAAAGCTTACCTTAGATGATAATATACATTCAAAAATCCTTACTGTGCTACAACTAAGGAAGAGAGAGAGAAAGAGAGAGAGAGAAGTTGTAAGCATTAATAAAATGCTAACACCAACGTTGAGTACTTGTTGGATGAAATTATGGTCGCGATTATGATGAGGTGATTTCATTAATCCTTAGTCATGTGAAAGATGTAGGAACATAGAAGCACATGGAATGAAGGGAAGGGATCCAGTCACTTCAAAAGGATCATTAATATGTAAAACATTTATTAATATGCACAACCACTTTGCCTAAACAGGTGGCAAAGCCAATTTGATTGTACAGTGAATATTTATGGTAAGAGCTTCCAAAGCATTAGCTTAAAAAAAAAAAATCCCTACAACATATATATATTGTGTTTTTCAACAAAAGAAAAACATAGATGATAGACAAAGCATTAGTGTACATATATATATGTTGAAATTCTAAAAGGCAAAATTATCAAGTAGATATAAATATTAGACTAGTGTGTTCTATAATATGTATTCTGAAATGATTATATAAGACTAATCTAAATAAACGCAAGGCTTAAGCAAACAGGCTAGAAAGTGACTATATGTATAATCTACAAAACTTTTAAGAAACAGCCCTAATTCTTTCCTCTTTTGGAAAGCTGACATTACCTCTGGGAATTCAAAGAGCAAATATTGTAAACTCGGGCATAGATCTATCTACATCATTAGAGTTTACATCGGGTTGTTTATCCAGCCCCAAAGAACTTCTCAGTCCACTCTTTCAAATGGGGGAGAATCATCGATATACTATAGAACTCATTTAATGCTTAATGCACTTAGTGATGAGACCTTGAATTTTCTCTCCTTTTAACTTCATGACTATATGAAATAATTTTGGTCCCATGAAAATATCCAAAATGCCCAACAGAAGGATGGACTACGGATAATCTACTACAGGGAATTTTTCACTGAAAAGCATTAAATGTGAACGTTTCTAACTACCGGATCTGTTTTTACTTGTGACCTCTCCCTATCAAAAACGCTCAAAACACTTTTTCTACAGCTTAGCCCTTTAAAAAGGTTCCGTTTTCTACTTCTCAACATGAATCTATAAAACTATCTTAAAAAAAGATCTTATCTCTTTACATGTAAAAAATAAAAATATTACAGACATGTCACTGGTTCCAGGTTTTGATAATCTTGTATCTGAAATGCGGTTCTCTTCCCACGTAGCTTTCTGACAAAACTTAGTTCCTACACTGCTTGATATCCTTGAATAATTTGGCCTTCCTTGTTCATGGCATAAACACTGTATGCCATGAGCTGCTAAGAAATATAATGAAAGCAAGTGAGAGTCAAGCTTTACATGCAAAGTGCGGTTTCATGTAAGAGGAATGGAACAGAAAGTAGAAAGATCCAGTGGGATATGAATTTTAAAACCTGTTGCTGCCCCTCCAGAAACAGTGGTTCTCCAGGGGAAATTACTCCTTGATATATCACTGTAGGATTAGAATATTTGTACCAGTATTTATTTGTTCTTAGTGGAAATTCTTACCTTTATTTTTCACAGCTTAACTTGATTCAAATCACTTATTATCAGATAACAATCTGATGATAAACAATCTTCGCTTTACTTTCAGGACCAACAGCTTTTACGAATATATTACCATTGACATCTTACTATGAACTCATGTAGAATACATTATTTACATTATGAAATTTAATTACCATATAATTTACTATGCAATTACCATAGAGAATATATCATCTATAAGCATAACTTTATTATCTTTTAAGGAGGACCCCACATGTTGAACCATTTATGAAATCATCATTTTATATCATTAACAACATTCCATTATTTTCAAAACACGCAGAAGTCGAACTAGGTTTTGTGTTTTTTTGGATGCTGAAACAATTACCCACAGTACTTTGGAATGAATAAAGCTAGTCATTCAGAAACCAGATGTATTTGCAACCATGACCAGAGCTAATACAAACTAAAAAGTGCCCTGGCCGGTTTGGCTCAGCAGTTAGAGTGTCGGCCTGCGGTCCAGAGAGACCCAGGTTCGGTCCCTGCTAAGGGCATGTACCTCGGTTGCAGTCTGTCCCTGGCCCTGGTTGGGTCGGGTGGGTGGCAGCCACTTGATGTGTCCCTTTCACATCGATGTTTCTCTCTCTCTCACTCCCTCCCACTCTATCTGAACAAAATATCAAAAAATGTCCTCGGGTGAGGATTAAAAAAAAAAAAAAGAATATTATGTTTTATATTTGAGAGAAAAAAACCAAAAAGTTGTTTTTCAAAAAAAACCAACTTTTTGGTTTTTTCCTCTCACTCAATTATGAATCTACTATACCATATTACCTCAGGATTGACAGGGATCATAAGAGAAAGAATATTACTTTTTAAAAGTTACAAAAGAAAATTTTTTTCAATAAATTTCTTCACTATTTTATACTAGATTTAGGACTAAAAATATATAATTTTAAAAGCATAAATACCGTAAGCATTTACAATGTTTTCCCTAAAAATAGATATTTACAGGATGATCTTTCTGAATTTTGGATAATAATTTCTTCATTATAGAGAGGTAGAAAAAGATTTCAGTTGTCACAGAAAGACAAGTTGATACAACAAGAATAAAAGAAAAGACACTAGAATCATGTGACCTATTATCTCATAAGGTCCCAAAGTAGGTTTTGATTGTCAAGAAAAAATTTTAGTATAAAAATTATACTCCATTAATATGAAGATTGATTAAGATGACAGGTTAGACTGAAACCTTTCTACCATGTCACACCTTACATGCTTTCTTGATTTACATTGGTTGAAAACTAGAATAAATGAAATGCAGACCTGTACATGGAAGTTCTCTAGTGAGATTTTAAAGGCAACTGGTCACAGTATGTGGATGCTATATTCAACAAATGTAATGGTCTACATTAAATCGACACAATTACCCATATGTATTGAAAGTTGCACAAAATAGTAAACTAGTTTAAAATAGCATAAATTCCTATCATTAGATACGTTTTTACACTAGGCTTCTATTTATAGATGGACTACATCACCAAAATAATACCCTCTTGACTTTATTTATTCTTACCATGCTGTGCACATAGAATTCCACTGTAATTAATATTTCTTTAGTTAACAAGAATTGCAAGAGATGAACATAAGTCTACTTAAAGAATCAAATAACCTTCAAAAATAAATCAAGAGTGAATGCAAGATGTAAAAATATCTTCTCTCCCCAGTCTCTCTAACCCCTTCCTCCTCCACCCCAGAACATTTTGGCAAACAATTTGGATTTTGCAATAAGGACAATAATGAAATGATTTTCTTTCATTTTATTCTATACCCAAGATCTTGGATGTCATACCTTTCACCTCCAGCTTGCATTCGACCTCCACTGTCCCAAGGTCATTGACTGCTTTGCAGCAGTAAGTGCCCCCGTCATAGGGGCTAGGCTTGCGAATCTCCAGCGTACAGACCCCTTGGTTGCTGAACATCCTGTATCTGGGGTCATCCACAATAGCAACTTTGTTTTTCATCCAGGTTATTTTGGGCTGAAGTTAACATCGAAATAAATGAGGTCAAAACATATCTGAACTTAGCCTATCAACAGGCCGTCAAAGCCAGTGACAGAATTTTCAAGCATGGCTTAGAAAGAAAGTGCATCTAACAAAAACCCCCATCTTGAGCATGGTTTCTCTCAAATTAAATTCTACCTAGTGCTTGGCAAGAGAGCAAATGAGCAGTTCTCTTTTTACTCACCGTACTAGGATAGAATGGACCACCTCCCTGGTTTCTGAGGCTAATACATTTCTATCACCACAATTATTTTAGCAAACCTGGTTCCCTTCATTTCTGCAATGTCATGTAGTTAGCAGTCGAGACTGCACTAAATGAGCAGTTCTGAAGAAGCAAGCCTGAGTTGTTCACAGCGCTGGGGCAACCTTCCCCAAAGGGTTCGGTGGTATTTCAATCGGATCTACAGGTCCATGAGGTTAACTCAACCAAGAGGCGATATATTGCTGGGCATTTTTCAGAGAATCCCCGTAGGGTGCCATAACCATTTAATTTTCCCCGCCTTCTTTTCCTGGTACTCTTTTCAAATTATTTATGGGCTGCTCACCATTTAATCTGTCCCCTGACATCTGTTTTCATCATCTGGTGGCAATGGATCTTCTCCAACCATATAATTCAAGATCTGTCATAAACCAATTGCCCAGGGAAGTGACTCCATTCTCCTTGACCCCTGAACTATATCTGACATCACTGACCTTCCACTCCTTCTACTCTTCTATGATTTTGCCTTTCTCAGGCCCCAGAGATAGCCTTTCTCTTTCTTCACACCATTCTCTTCTTCCTTCCGCCTCTCAAGTGGAAGCTTTCACTGAGCCTCACATGTTGGTCCTTGGCTTTTTTCTCATTCCCTCTTTCCTTAAGGGTATTGCTTTCTAGAGCTTTGACTCCAAGGGGTGGAATGTAGCACCCCCATGCCTGGGGACTCCTAAACTGAGAGTCACAGCCCTGCCCTTTGTCCTAAGCGCCAATGAACTCCTCCTCTGCTTCCGGATCATTCCTACTTGGATATACCAACATCACTTCCAATCAAACATGAAGTCAGCATCTTCCTCCCATCCTCAGTTTGACTACTCTCTGAAGTTCCTCTTTCTGTTCATGGTATATGTGGGGAAAATACCACTGTGTGCAATTTTTCAAATTCTAGGGTGCCTTCCCTCAATGCAACCCAGGGGCAGATCAATATTTCTATGGGCGACATTCATGAATTTGTTGTTCTTTTCAAATGCCAACAACATGAAAACTTAAAACCTTTTGTCTTCTGTCAGATGTGATTTCTCCCTTCTTAGTACTCTGCTCCCTTAAAACAGCAGTTTAAATTCTGCCTTGCCTTGTAGTATCATCAGTTGCCTTAATCTATTATAGAAAATTTGATGAATCAATTTTTCCACCTAATTTTTTTCAGGTGAAACAATATTACTTCCATCTCCTTGCCTCTCTGTTCTTTTGAAAATAGGTGATTTGGTTTTTCCTTAGAAGGTATCCCTTATTTAGTAAAGAAATATAAACATTTTTTACCACTTCCCCCCAAACCCAGAATAAGACACAAATAGAAACTGGAGGGTCCATTTGTATTACTTACATTTATAATGTGGCAAATACACGAGAGAGAATTTGGGATGAATTCTTAAATTTAACTAATGTGTTTTTAAAAAAATAAAACACGGTACCTTAGGATTTCCTCTCACACTGCAGTTGAGGGTGGCATTGTACCCAGCCACAGCGTAGGTGTTGACCAAAGGCTGGGTAAACATGGGTGCCTCTGTGAAATCAAAGTCTTCATACACTGGATTTTTGTAGACTTTACCTTAAAGCAAGCATTAGAAATATACAAGTTGGCCTGAGACTGTGTTATTCTTGGCATACTTTACCTGCCGTTAAAACTTCCCTGACCTTAGAAAAACATGAGTGAACACTGAGAGGCATTCATTCCTGAGGGTACAAATGGACAATGATTCCCCCCACAGGGCGCACAGTGGTCATCTGAAACTGATACAAATATTGAGAATTCGGAGCACGTGGAGCAACAGTGTGTTTTCGTGACAGTGACGAGGAAGAGCAGGAAGGAGGGTGGTTCCTGGGGAAATGAAAGGATGGGCGTGGCATCAGCCTCACCCATTTGGTGGGTCTGCTGTGGAGCCCCATGGACGGTGTCTAACAACAGAAGTAACCCAGACTCGAGAAATCACTGTCTACTTTTTCCTATCCCTGTGGTTTTAGCCATTTATACACCGACTGCCCAGAAGCTGGAATGAATTACAGCTTGTATTTTTAAAAATGCAATAATAATATAATTTTCCTCTAAAAATTTTACTTTTAAAATTAATATTGACTTGGCCATTTTTACCATAATTTAACAGCATGTGTTTATCATTTTCTTTTTCCTTTCACCACATCTGTTTTTCTTTCAGTCTCCTCTAGTCACTGAACACCGAGGTTTCCGGATGTCCAGTTGTGATACTCTGATTTATAATAAGAAATATGGTCTTCATCCTCATTTCTGGCCCAGAGCTCCTAAAACCCTTGGAATTTCCTAAGCAAATAGAGCTATCAAGGTGTCTTTTGTTATGTTAATGAGGTTGCTTCTGACCCCACCCAAGAACTAGTTGCCAGGGGAACCAACCTTATAATTAATGGGTTGGAACTTTTAGTCCCGCCCCCAGACCACCAAGGAGGAGAGAGTGGCTGGAGATTCAATCAATCATGGCTGTGTAATGACGCTTCCATAAAAACCAAGAAGGATAGGTTTGTAGAGCTTCTGGATTGGTGAGCACATGCAGGTTCTAGGACAGTGGTGGAGCTCAGAGAGCGTGGAAACTCCATATCCATCCCCCGTACTTTGCTGAGGCCCCTTCCATCTGGGTGTTCCTGAGTTATAATCTTTTGTGTTAAGCCAGTGATACAGTAGATGGAATGTCTCTCTGAGTTCTGTGAGCTACTCCAGGAAGTTAATCAAACCTGAGGAGGGGTCATTGGAACCTCTGATATATAGCCTGTTGGAAGCACAGGTGACAACCTGGACTTGCAATTGGCATCTGAAGTGGGAGCCGGGCACCCTCCTGTGGGACTGAGCCCAGACCTGTGGGATCTGATGCTATCTCTGGGTAGACAGGGTCAGAACTGAATTGAGTTGTGGGACACCCAGGTGGTGTCTAAGAATTGTTTGGTGGTGTGTGGGAAGCTCCCCCAAACCTCCACTCACAGGAAGTGGGTGGAGAACCCCCTTTTCTCAGCCCACTACTAACTCACCATCCTTGGCGATCACAGCACTCTCTTTAGTCATTGTCGCATTCTCACTGAGGCCACACATGTTTTCAGCAAAGACCCGGAAGTAATATTCATTTCCTATGACCAGTTCAGTAATGGTGGCGTGGGTTCGGTGATAATGCTCAATGACAGTGAACCATTCCTGAAAGAAAAACATTTTAAGGAAAATTACCTAAAAATACACAACTTCTCCAACTGCTCATTAGAATAAATAATAGGGATGTTTCATTTACTAAAAGAAAAATAGCTGCCCTGGCCAGTTTGGCTCAGCAGTTGGAGCGTCAGCCTGTGGACCAGAGAGTCCTGAGTTCAGTTCCCGCTAGGGACACATACCAAAAAAAAAAGAAAGAAAGAAAGAAAGAAAGAAAGAAAGAAAGAAAGAAAGAAAGAAAGAAAGAAAGAAAGAAAGAAAGAAAGAATTAATTTTTATATTGAGAGCAATAATAACATCCATTTAATTAGTTTAATACTTTATAATTAATTTATAACTAAAAATTAATTTAATCTTCATTTATACACCAGAATCATAACTACTACCTTTATATTTTCCTCAAAATTGTATAGTCTGTCATCTATCAATCTACTTGTCTATCTTTTGTATAACAAAATATAATTATATTTTATATATGACATAATTATATATGTCTATGCTGAGAAAAAGATGATGCTAAATCACCAGAGAAAAATTTAAATCATTCAACAAACTTGCCTAATATTCTCAACACAGGTGCTTTGAGATGTTTGCTCAGATATCACCTCTCCCCTACCCTAACCTGGCAAAGTTTTCTCCACAGCACTTGCTATCTTCGGTTATATTATATATTTACTAGTTTACTTGTTTTTCCTCTACCCCCACCCATCCCTGGGATGAACACACCAGGATGTTAAAGACACTCTCCTTCTCACCCCTGTGTCTCCAGTGCCTGTCATAGTACCTGGCACATAGCAGGTACTAAGGACAAAATAAATGTTTCTTGAACACTGGAATGGATGAATGAATAAATGAGAAGCTAAAACAATTTTTTTCCTGTTTTCCCTCACTATACCAAGAAATATCATGGTTTCAAAATGTATCTGGCAACCAGTAGAAATTCCATTTGTACCACATAAATTTTCGACCACTAGTTGAGAAAATACACTTGCTGACAAAAAAGTTCATAAAGGAAAGAATTTTCCTTGCAACTTTTATGGGCCATCATTTTATATGTATTTTGCATATTTTAAGACAGCAAGCAAATGTACTTATACCCTCATTTATTCCCAAGGTATTTAATGCAGACCTTGATTCCAACATGTATGATATTGTTTTGTCATTTGGTTTTTAAGCCTTTCTTCCTGCCTAGACTGTGAGTACCCTAAGAGCAGGAGCTATTCTGTTCTTTGTCCTTCCCCCTTCTCTCCTCCTTCCCTCCCTCTTCTTCCTTCCTTCTCTCTCTGTCTCTCTGTCTCTCTCTCTCTTTCACCCAGCAGCTACAACAGTGCTCAACACAGTGAATGACTGAATAATTAAATATGTTGGCACACAGTGAGAACAATGTCTATGGAAGGGATGAATGACTATAGGAATGTAAGTGAAGAACAGCATCTGTAGCCACAACAAGACAATGATGCAGTGATCTCCTGGGAAGTGCGCTGGGCAGAGTGAGCATCTTCTGGGCCATAGGTCTGCCCCTGCTGAAATGCAACAGAAACACAGGGGTGCAGGGTTAGGGATCATCCCCCATCACCAGGCAGACCTCAGACACATGAAACAGCAGGAAAGTCCTGGCCGATCTAAACTGGACTAGATGTCTAAGAAAACAAACATTGGGCAAGCATGATGGGGGTGGAAGAATGGAGGTACCACCTGAAGGAAACATGCTTCCTCTGGATTCACTGACAGTATCTGAGCCAAAGTCCAAAGGAGAGCCGTCATTGTTAGGGAAATTCAAGACATGCAGTACTTCCCTTGCAAAGTCATCCATTGATCCCGTCCTCAAGCTGTCCAGGTTTAGCTGAAAGACGTTACTTTGAATGACAAATCTCATGCTGTCATGTAACACCCACCCAG